GAGGGCAGCGCCTGCACGAAGAGCCCGCGCGCGTCCGTGCGCGCCAGCTTGGCCGGCGGCTCCAGGGCCTCGGGGCCCAGCGCAGGCGACTCGCCGCCAGCCGCCAGCGAGATGTCTTGCGGCAGCTCGTCCTCGCTCTCCTCCTCCTCTTCCTCCTCCTCGTCTGGGGCACACGGACCAGGCCCGGCTCAGCGTGGGGCGCCGGGTCCCCAGAGGTCCGGCGCCGCCTCCACCCCAGGCCCCCTGCCCGCCGCCCCCCGCACTCGGGCCCTGAGTAGGGTCACGCCGCGCCTACCTTTGTCTGGGTCCAGGGTGTTCAACGAGGTGGCCAGGTTGGCGAACTGCAAGTAGGGAAGGGAAGGAGTGAGGGTCCCGCCAAGGGGCGCCCGCCCGCGCCCCCAGCGCCCCGCCGCGCACCTCGCCCATGACGGCGATGGGGGTCTCGCCCTTGGCCCGCGCCACGCGGTGCTCGACCAGGTAGTACATGTACTCGTCGTAGAGTAGGCGGATGAGGTGGAAGGAGCCGAAGCTCGCGGCGCTGCGCAGGGTCAGGTCCCGGATCACCATGGAGCTGCGGCGGGGGGAGGCGGCTGTCAGGCCCGTCCCGCCCTGCCCCTCGCCCCCGTCCCACCCGCAAGGACCCCAGGCTCGGGCAGGCCCTGCTAGCCGGCCCGCGCCCGCACTGGCTTCCCCAGGGCGCCCATCAGCGAGAGCGTAAGGAACCCCACCCTCGCCAAGGAGGCGGAGCTTCCCCTGACCCCACCCCCGTCAGAGGCAGGGCTTTTCCTGGCCCCGCCCGTACCCCGCCCAGCCGGCGCGCACCTGTAGAAGGACCACTTGAGGAGGAAGAGCTTGGCGGCCTTGGGGAAGCCGGCGCTGCCCTGGTAGGGCTTGAGCACCTGGCTCACGACGCCGTCCAGCCAGGCCGCCCACTGCTCCAGCGAGTTCTGCTGCTGCAGCGTCACCTTGAAGTCCTGCTCCAGCCGCTGCACCACGCGGTCCTCGCAGCGGCACACCCACGAGGCCTGCTCCTGGGCACACGGACCAGGCCCGGCTCAGCGCGGGGTGCCGGGAGCCCGCGCTCCCCCGCCCCCCCCCAAGGCCTGGCCCGCGCTTGCCTGCCCCCTCCCCCACCCCCCTGGCCCGCGCTCACCTGCACGTTGGCGAAGTCCACGCGGTTGAGGTCGCTCAGCATCTGGTTGATCTGCGCGGTGTTCTGCAGCACGGCGCGCGCCGCCTGCGCCAGGTGGTTGAGCGACGTGTAGCGCCTCAGCGTCTGTGCGAAGGCGCCGGCCGCAGCCACCTGCGGGCAGGGGCGCCTGTGGCTTCCGCGGAACGCCCCCACCGTGCCCTGCCCCCCACTGCACTCTCTCTGCGCCTCTCTCTCTACAAAGGCAGGGGTGTACTTCGTTGCTTTTGTTGGGAGATCAAGTGGGGTCCAAAAAATCCATGTTTTGTGTCTCCCCTGCATTATGATTTTTCGTGAGAGGACACAATAGAAATCTCAGAGGGCCCTACCCAGATGGGGCCAGCACTGCTCCAGTAAACATTTGTTTCATTTGTTTGATTGTGCCTTTGTCCCCTGCTGGAGGGCAGGGGTTTTGTCCAGCTTGGACACTGAACCATGCTGGGCATGCAGTAGGCGCTCAATACATGCATGCTGACTAAATGAATACATGAGTCTTGCCGGTTCTGAAGGGCTTGCCCCTGGATCCAGCTTCACAGGCCCCTGCCCAGCCCAGTGCCCAGCACACCCAGGGCTGATCCCTCAGTTCTGTTTAGCTGCCTTGTTAAAATTTTAAGGACTAAAAAACACCTCTTTTTTTTCTTTTCTTTTTCGTTTTTTGGCCCAAGAGCAAGCACATCCCATCTAATTCCTCACATTGAGGTAGTTAGTGAACGTGCAGCATTAATGAAAAGGCCGTTTTTCTCTTCCTTAGCGATGCTGCTTTGTTTTTCTTTTTAAGGTTTTACCTATTTCTGAACACCTAAAGCACTTTCTCCTGAGGCCGGCTGAGGAGCATTCCTTCAAGTCTGGTTTTTATCTTGTTAAGATACTGTGTTGCACGTGAAAATACTACAAAGGGGTTGTGTTTCAGAAGTGGGGACCTGAGGGAGCCAGTCTGTAAAGACAACACCCAGAGCTGCCCCTGAGGGCACGCAGCCCGGGGACAGGCGTGGGGACAAGCCTGCCTGCCTCTCTGGGGCAGAGGGGACAGCCCCGCCTCACCTTCACCCGCAGCATCTCCTCGGGGATGTTCACCATGGCGTGCGTGAGCCAGCTCTCCAGGCTTTTGGCAAAGTTCCGGATGGCTTGGGTCAAGGCACCTGTGGGCGGCAGTGGGGCTGAGCGCGCAGGGCCAGGGCGGGGGCGGGGGGTGGGCAGTCGGGCACTCACTGGGGATGGGCCGCAGCACGTCGGGGATGAGGATCTCCACCAGGCCCTGGTACAGCACGTTGTCACAGTGCTTGGTCCACTGGAGCACGGGCTCGAACTTGGAGAGCAGCACCAGGCTGGCCTTGGGCAGACGCTTCTCGGCCTCGTCGTGCCTGGGGGCACCGACCACCCGTTTCACATGGACACTCGTGGGGGGAAGGGCACAGCACCCCCACCCCGCCCTGGGCTCAGGCAGGTAGTCCCTGCCCTGCAGGCCCCAGTGCCCCTGTCAGATGAGGAGCCCACACCCCAGGCCCTGCGCACTGCGGGGACACCCAGCTCCCAGGCTCGCCACCCCACCCACGGGGCGCCAGAGCCACACATGCACTCCGGAGCGCGGATCCGAGGGGCACGTGCGCCCCGAGAGCTGACTCCCACGGTGCCCCCCCAACCACCCCGGGACGCACACGGCCAGCGGCGGTGCCTCGCTGGGCTGGCTGAGGTGGAACCTCCAGAAGGTCTTCCACAGCGTCTCCACCAGCGTGAACTGCAGGTTCACCATGACATCCACGATGGCCTGCCGGGCGGCCGGGCGTCAGGGCTGGGGCCTCGGGGCCGCCCTCGCCCTGCCCGCCCGCCTGCCCGCCCGCCCAGCCGCCCTACCTCACAGTGCTCCCGGTACAGGACCTGGAAGGCCTTGACGTCCCCAGGCCCGACGCCCTCGGGCAGCACTTTGCCCTGGAGGTCGAGCTCTGAGAAGTCAGGGAGACTCCTCGAGGCATCTGGGGAGGAGAGGACACTATGAGGCCCTTCACCTCCGCGCCGGCCCCCTCGAGCCTCTCCCTGCCATCCCATTGAGCTGTCACCACTCTCCTACCAAGCTGGGGCTCCCGTGTGCAGTGGGGGTGACAAGGCTCGGGGAGGGCAGGTGAGCCACCCGCACACCCTCTGGGGCCCGCGACCCCCCCGCGCCCCTCCATGGGCCAGGGAGCCCTCACCCAGGAACTGCTGGTACTGCTGGACCTGGGCGCTGATGTCCGACAGCCCGCTGGCCTGCTGCGGCCCCACGGCCACACCATTGGTCATGCCCTCCATCTTCTGGATGGGCTTGAGCCTGGAGGAGAAGGGTGGGCGGGGCGTTGCGGGGGGCCGGCGGCACGTCCCCCACCCACTGGTGCGGCGGCGGCAGCCTACCTCTGCTTCTGCGAGAAGGGCTGGCCGCGCATGGCCATGTGCTGCTGGTCCTCCATGAGCCGCAGCAGCGGCGAGCTGCCCTTGATGCGCAAGCCGTAGTAGTGGTATTTGGAGTTGCCCCTGCGGGGAGCAGAGGGGAGCGCTGGCTGGGGCACCTGCGCCCCCCCACGCCCACCTCCGCTCTGCCGGGGAGCTGAACCAGCCGGGGCGCTGCGCCGGGGCAGCACAGGGGCTGCGGGTGCCTGGAGAGGCCCCAGCCCCACCCAAGCTCTGTGACCACAGCGCCCGCAGGGTCCACTGCTCCAGCCAGGTCCCCGATCCTGGCACGGGGCAGGAGCCCACCAAATACGTGCAGATCACTGTCCTAACCCCGGCCCAGGCACCGCTCTGAGTACTCGGCCCGTGGAAGTCCAGGTGCTCCTAACACCCTGGATGGACAGGTGAGGAAATCGGGGCACAGGGAGGCCAGCATTCACCCAAAGGGGAGGAAGGGAAGGGTGGGTTCGTGGAATGGCTCCTGTTCCCTCCCACGTGAATTCACCGCCTCACAGGCCCTGACTGAGCACCGACTGTGCAGCCCCCAACTCTCAAGGTGAATGCATTTCAGCATCAGAAGACACACAGAAACGAGAGAAGAGAAAAGGCGTGTTGGATGGTGCTAAGTGCCGGAGAAGCAAGCAGGGGAGGGGCGGTGTGGGGAGCATCCGGGAGGTGGGGAAGGCTGCGGTTTCAGTTAAGGGGCCAGGGCACGTCGGAGCAAGGAGATGGGGAAAGGTGCAGGAAGCAGAAGGCAGAGCCAGTGCAAAGGCCCTGGGGTGGGAATGAGCAGTGTTAGAGGCGCCGTGAAGAGGCCGGTGGGGCTGGAGCAGAGTGAGTGAGGGTGCGATAACCTGGAGTGGGGGGCTGTCGGGGGTGGTGGCCCACCTGGTGCCAAGCCGGCGGGTGCGCAGGCCCATGAAGACGGAGCGGATGAGCTTGCCAAAGGAGGCGGCGTTCACGGGCTCCAGCTTCTGTTCCTGGCAGTGCAGCAGGTAGTGGCAGTAGAGGGTGCTCCGCGGCAGGCTCACGCCCTCCGCTGTCTCGTAGTTGTCCAGGAGCCACTGGACCTGGGGCCGAGGGCCGGCAAGGGTGCTGAGTCGCCTCCGCTTCCCCAGGGCTCGTGGCTAAGTGCTCTCTGGCCCTGTTTCTGATTACGATCCTGACAACCACGCCTTGTCTCACAATTGCCCGTGGGAACCAAATCCCACGGAACTCTCTAGAACTGCACTGTCCAATACAGTCGCCACCGGCCACATACAGCTCTTTAAAGACACACTTAGGGCCGGCCCCGTGGCTCAGCGGTTAAGCGCGCGCGCTCTGCTGCTGGCGGCCCGGGTTCGGATCCCGGGCGCGCACCGACGCACCGCTTCTCCGGCCATGCTGAGGCCGCGTCCCACATACAGCAACTAGAAGGATGTGCAGCTATGACATATAACTATCTACTGGGGCTTTGGGGGAAAAAAAAAGGAGGAGGATTGGCAATAGATGTTAGCTCAGAGCCAGTCTTCCTCAGCAAAAAGAGGAGGATTAGCACGGATGTTAGCTCAGGGCCGATCCTCCTCACAAAAAAAAAAAAAAAAAAAAGACAAATTATTTTGTGCTGAGTGGAAAAAGCCAATGTCAAAGGTCACGTGGAGTATGAGTCCATTCTAGAACATTCTAGAAATGACAGCATTACAGGCATGGGGAAGACACTCGAGGTCACGGGGTTAGGATGCTGGGAAGGAGGAGGGCGGGCATGACTACAGAGGGTTAGCTGGAGGGAGGTCTTGGGGTGATGGAGCGGTTCTGCATCTCGACTGTGGGGGGCTTTCCCAAATCTGCAGACGTGAGACGCAGAGGAGGATGCCCATATGGTGCCCGGGCCAGCTTCCTGGTTGGACACTGTACCCCAGTTATGTGAAATGTAACCAGCGGGGTGACCTGGGTGAAGGGCCCACAGGGATCTCTCTGTACTATTTTTGCAGCTTCCTGTGAATCTACAATTATATCAAAACAGTTAAAAAAAAAAAAAAGCAATTCAGCTCTGCTCTGTGGTGCCCCCAGCCACATTCCGAGCGCTCAGCAGCCACAGTGGCCGAGGCCCCTGTATGGGGCCGCACGGAGAACACTTCCATCCTGGGAGAATGGCACTGTTCTGGGGAAACACGCCCGCACACTGCCGGGAGGACCCACCGGGGGCCATGAAGCCAGTCCGGTGGGTCACAACCAGTGTGAAAGAACACCCGACTAGAGGCCCCGCTGCATCGGTGCCAGCGGGGTCCCGCCTCCCGTGAATGCCACTCTCGGTTACGGGGTCCAGGGTGGGCCGCCACGCGAGAGGGCACCAGTGAGGAATGTGGGGAAGCCATCGCTCCAGACCCCAAGCTCTGAGAGGACAGGGGCCATGTGGGGCCACCAGGCCCTGACCTACCCGTGGTCACAGAAGGTGAGGGGCCAGCGGGGCTGGGGTCCAGGGCCGCCCGAGTGACCCCACACACCCCCCTCCAGGCAGCTCCTCCCACGGTGGGGCCTGCCTCTCCTGCCTTCGCTGTCTCTCCACCATCATCACTACAATCACAGTGGGTGACACTCAGTGGGCACCACTCTAGAAGGTTCATGCCTCTTAGCTGTGGCCCAGAGAGGCTGAGTAACTGGTCTGAGGCCGCACAGCAAGGACTGCACCCCCGGCCATCTTCCTATGAGCTCTCGGGCACCAGGCTCCCCAGGCTCCTGCTGACGGTGACCGTGCCCACCCCCC